TGTGTGTGTGTGTGTGTGTGTGTGTGTGTGTGTGTGTGTGTGTGTAAGAGAGAGAGAGAAAGAGAGAGAGAGAGAGATTTATTTTAAGTATGTGTGTTAGGGGGTAGGTGCATGTGAGTACAGGTGTCCACTGAAACAAGAAAATGGTGTCACCAGGCAGTGGTGGCACACACCTCTAATCCCAGCACTTGGGAGGCAGAGGCAGGCAGATTTCTGAGTTCGAGGCCAGCCTGGTCTACAGAGTAAGTTCCAGGACAGCCAGGGCTATACAGAGAAACCCTGTCTCAAAAAACAAAACAAAAATAAAACAAAAAAAATTTTCAAAAAAAAGAAAATGATGTCATTCCTTAGAGCTGAAGTTACAATTAGCTGTGAGCCACCTGATGTGGGTACTAGGAGTTAAATTCTGGTTCTTTGGAAAAACAGTATCCCTCCCCCTCCGTCACAGCCCTGGCTGTCCTGGAACCGACTCTGGCCTTACACTCACAGAGATCCACCTGCCTCTGTCTCCCAAGTGCTGGAAATAAAGGCATGTGCCACCCGTCTGCCTCAGTAAGGCCCTTAACCACTGACTTCTATCCCATCCCCCTTCGTCTTTCCCAGACCCTGGCTGACTGAGTTTAGGCTGGCCTGGAACTGGTGGTGATCTAGCCTCCTGAGGGCTCTGATTAACAGTATAAGCCATCACGTCACATCCAGCCTCCCACCCACTTTTTAAACCCAGTTCTTCCTTACCTAATCCCTACCCCTATATTTTGGTTACTTCTTCCTAACTCAACTCCAACTATCTTTCTTTGTTTGTTACCAAGACAGGGTTTCTCTGTGTAGCCCTGGCTGTCCTGGAACTTACTCTGTAGACCAGGCTGGCCTCAAACTCAGAGATCCCACCTGCCTCTGCCTCCTGAGTGCTGGGATTAAAGGCTTGCACCACAACCACCCAGCCAACTCCCACTATCTTATTGTTTCAGGCCAGCTAACTATAAGATCAGGCTTGTCCTGGAACATACCTCACAGACTTAAGAACTTCAGCTAGCTCCTCAAAAGCCTTTTCAAAAGAATGGGCTGGATGGTAGGGTTAGGAAAACCAAAAGGCAGGCCTATGACTATCCCACTCTGCCCTTCAGGATCCTCTGTGGCCTCTGTCCTGGGGCACTGGGTCGTCTATCGGGAACTCTGGAGTTCCAGGTGCCTGATGAGGTGCTGGGGCTCATCTATGCTCAGACCGTGGTCTGGGTGGGAAGCTTTTTCTGCCCTTTACTACCTTTGATCAACACTGCCAAGTTCCTCATACTTTTCTGTCTGAAGAAGGTGAGTCTGAGGAGTTCCTAGGGTCTGAGCTGAGAGGTGTTGGAGGCTGTCCTCCTGGGCTAGGGAAAGGAGGGTGGATGCCAGGGCCTCTGATTACTATGCCCTGAGGGAGGGAGGAGGGAGCTGGAAGTCAGAGTCCTAGGTTCAGAGGAGGATGAATCTGGGATAGTCTGACTTTCAAGACTAAGCAACAGGTGGCCTAGAGATCTGGGCCCTGCCCCCAAAGGAGGCCAAAGGTCCAAGATCGGAAACAAGGGAAAGCAAAGAATTGACTCTCTTGAGCCTCAACTCTCCATTTCTTCACCTCTCCCCACCAGGTAACACTCTTCTCTATCTACTCACCGGCTTCCCACACCTTCCGAGCATCCACAGCCAATTTCTTTTTCCCCCTGGTACTTCTTGTGGGTCTGGCGATCTCTGCTGTTCCCGTGCTTTACAGTATCTTCCTGTAAGTACAAGAGACTTCTGTTTCCCTTTGCATTCACCCATGGTTCGCACTATGGCCCTACTTGATTGAATCTCCTGTGTCTCCCCCTACAGGATCCCACCTTCTAAGCTGTGTGGCCCCTTCAGAGGGAAGCTGTCCATTTGGGTCCAGATCCCTGAATCCATTGAGAGACTTCCTCAGAGTGCCCAGAATTTTCTCTATTTTCTGGGAACCCAGGCTTTTACTGTACCCCTTCTGATCTTCTCTAGGTGAGCGGTCAGAGTCTGAATGTGTGTGATTTAGTGTTTGAAAGAGAAAGGAGTTGCCGGGCAGTGGTGGCACATGCCTTTCACCCCAGCACTTGGGAGGCAGAGGCAGGTGGATTTCTGAGTTTGAGGCCAGCCTGGTCTACAGAGTGAGTTCCAGGACAGCCAGGGCTACACAGAGAAACCTTGTCTGGAAAAACCAGAGAGAGAGAGAGGGGGGAGGGGAGGGAGGGAGACAGAGAGACAGAGAGACAGAGAGAGAGACAGAGAGAGACAGAGAGAGAGAGAAAGGAGTTGGGTGCTGGGCACCTGAGTGTTAGAGAGGAAGGGGAAGGCTGGATGGCTATGTACAAGGGAGGAGAAGTGGGGCTAGCCTGGATGCCTAGATCAAGAGCAGGAGAGTTGGAGTGTGAATGTTTAGGGTCTAAGAAAAGACATCTGGGTTTGGACTCCTGGGTCTGAGGAAGGAGGGCCAGGGTGTGGATTTATAGGTTTGATGACCGGGGAGGAGGTATGGATCCTGAACCTCTGGTTAAAGGGTCTGAACTCTTGGGTCTGAGGTGAGAGGATAACAACTGTCGTTCAGAGTCTCAAAAGGGTTTTAAGGGATTTGAGGATCCTGATATTAGTTTCTTTAATTTACTTATTCATTTTAATTTTTATGTGTGTTGGTATTTGGACAGCCTGTATGTCTGTGTGAAGTAACGAACTTGAATTACAATTGTAAACTGCCATGTGGGTGCTGGGAATTGAATCCAGGTCCTTGGGAAATGCAGCCAGTGCTTGGGTTACGAGCCATCTCTCCAGCCTCCTGATCTTGGTTTCTAAGGAGCCATATGATGAAGATGTTTTTTTCTAAAGTGATTTTCATTCCTGTCTTCCTTAGCGTTCTGATGATGTATACCGTAGCCCTGGCTAACTGTTACGGACGCCTCATCTCTGAGCTCAAACGCCAGATAGAGACGGTGAGCCAGGCTGATTTCCCCGGGGAAGGGCTCTGTGAGAACATGAAAGGGGAACATAGGTGAAGAGAAGATGTGCTTCACTTTCACTCCTTTTTGCCCGCAGGAAGTGCAGAATAAAGTCTTCCTAGCCCAGCGAGCTGTGGCTCTGAGCTCTACGAATGGAGCTTCCTGATTAGTCTGGCTGGACCTTCACCCCCTCAGACCAGCCCCTCAGACCCATCGTAAGCTTCAGTGACTTCATATATCAAGCGATGTGGCCCTCTCATCTCTGGAACCAAATCCCACGCCCTCTGCCACTTGAATGCCACACTCTCAATTGAACCGTATTAATAAACAACAGTCAAGGCCGCTATGCGTTTTGAAACCCCGTTCTGAAGCCGTGGACAGGGTGTGGGGAGGGGCCAGATCTAAGTCAGCCTGAAGAGCTTGGTTGTGTCTGCATAAAGGGATAGACAGGCAAGGCAGATCATCAACAGTTTCACCCAGCAGCGTCCGGGGTGGAGCAACTCAGGTTACATATGCTTAGGATTGGCTAAGATGAGAGGTTTCTCAGCCAATCATCTCTAAGCAAGGCTAGTAGGGGGCGTGACAATTGGCCCAGAACCAATGTACGAGCAAGGGTGGAACCGTGGGGCGGGAGCATCCTCGAGCCAATCGGAAGTGCTGAAGAGTGGACCTGACAGTCGGAGGTCGGCACTGGAGCCATGAATATCTTGCCCAAGAAGAGCTGGCACGTCCGGAACAAGGACAATGTTGCCCGCGTGCGGCGCGACGAGGCCCAGGCCCGGGAGGAGGAGAAGGAGCGTGAGCGGAGGGTGCTGCTCGCTCAGCAAGAGGTAAGCCTGGGGCGGGCCCGGAAGTGGGGCGGGCCTGCCTATCACTCGGTGTTGGACGCGGGTCTTGTGTTCGACGATGTTTCTCAGAAAAGCCTGTGCTAACTTCCATGAAACCTTCCTAGATTTCCCCACTGGTGTTGAAGGAACCAGAGACTAGCACACTGGAAGAGTTGGACATATATTCTGATTACTTTATAGGTTGCCCGTACGAGTTAATTACTGATCACCCACTGTGTGTATGCTCCCGTCCTTCAGAGGGCTTGGTTTGAAAAATCCCTGTTAGAACAACTTAGAGGGGTGCGGTGCACCGGCTTCTGCAAGGAGGGCAAAGGGCGGACAAGATGGGGTCCACTTCGTTGGACATGTTCTTTCTCCCTCATTGCTCCCCAAGACAAGCACATCTGGAGGCGTTCTTTATTTGAAACAGGGTCTGTGTAGCCGCAGCTGTTTTGGAACTGGCTATGTAGACAAAACTGGTCTCGAGCTCAAAGATCCGCTTGCTTATGCCACCTGAACGCTAATATTGAAGTCCACACACACATGCACACTTTAATAGTTACTCCATCAGTGTGGTTTACACTTAAGGCCCTTGGCCAATCTGATCACGAATCAGTGTGGGCTTTAAAAATAATAAAATTTTTAAAAAGGTGAAGCTTGTAATTAATCCCAGATACTAAGGCTGCAGTGAGCGGAGAAATGTGAATCGGAGACTATCCCTATCTGGGGTCAGGCTGTATTTGGAATGGGGACCTGGACCCATACTTTGGATTCAGACCCTTTGTCCAGAAAGCAATGTTTGGGAGTAGTAAGCTTATACTTGTGCTGGAGACTCAACTTCGAACTGCAAACACTAAGCAGGGGCTCTATGGCTGACCAAGCCACCTCTACCAGATTGATAACCGAGTGAATTTTTCTTGCATCACTCCAGGCTGGAAAGTCTTCTGTTTAGGCGCAATTATCTCTGATAGCCCAGTTTACTGTTTAAAAACACTGGTTCTCCACTCCAAGTTAGAAATGGTGTCACTTTCATTGCCCTGGATTATTCGAGACAGGGTTTCTCTGTGTACTCCTGGAACTAACGCACTCTGTAGACCAGGCTGGCCTTGAATTCAGAGATCTACCTGCCTGCCTCCAGAGTGTTAGGATCAAAGGAGTGTTCTACCACTGCCCTCCCTGCCCATGGACCCTTCTGGTATCCTCAGCACTTGTGGGTTCTGAATGTCCTGCCTACAACCCTTTGTAGGCCCGAACGGAATTCCTACGGAAGAAAGCCAGGCAACGAAACTCACTGCCTGAGCTGGAGGCAGCAGACCCAGGAGCTCCAAGTTCTGGCCCTGTGGACCTGTTTAGGGAGCTGCTGGAAGAAGGGAAAGGAGTGCCCAGAGGCAATAAAGAGCATGAGGAAGAGAAGCGACAGGAAAAGGTAAGCTGCCTCATTTTTTAGTGGAATCATGGGGGTGGGAGGGTGAAAATAGGGGTGGGAACTGGCTGTGACTGTTAGAATATAGTGTGGTTAGCACAGACAATTTAGAACGTGACTGAGAGGTATCACCTGTAAGTTGGTTACTGCTGTACAGTACTTAAACTAGCTAACCTTTTTTCATGGGACTAAAAAAAGTCTCAAGCTATTTTATTTTGAGATGAGATCACAACTACACAGACCAGGGTCCCTTCTAATTCTCAATCCTCCTATCTTGGCCTCCTGGGCCAAGTGTCGAGATCATAGGCACGGACCTCTAGACTGCATTTGTGCTTTTCAAACTGATTTGTACTTCGGCTATCCTACATCTCTCATCCAGCTTTGAAGGTGCTGTCTCCCACTGAAAACCACTCCTCCATTTTGCTTTTCTGCAGGTTTTTCCTTAAACGATTCCCAAAGTAAGCTTCTCCCATCTTCCATTACTGCACAGGCCACTGCCCTCCTTTCCTTCCTCCTCCTGCAGATAAGCCCCTGGTGCTTTGCAAAGCTAGTCCCTGATTGGTCTTGTGATTTCCCTTGTCTCCAGAAACTCAGGACCTGGGTTTTTTTATTGCCACATCTAGGGCTCCCAGAGGGACTGAAAAGACTGTTTTCTTGCCCCTGCAGGAGAGACAAGAGAAAGCTCTAGGCATCCTGACATATTTGGGCCAGAGTGCAGCAGAGGCCCAAACTCAACCTCCTTGGTACCAGCTCCCCCCAGGGCAAAAGGGTTGCCCTCCAGGCCCAAGCCCAGATGAGAAGATCAAGAACCGATTGGATCCCTTGAGGGAGATGCAGAAGCACTTGGCAAAGAAAAGGCACCACAGCAACGAAAGCCATCCTTCCAGACAGGATCAGCCTCAGAAACAACGCCCCAAAGAGTAAGAATAGACACTCAGCCCACAGTAGAGCAGAGTGAAACTTTGAAGATCCTAGCAGCCAGGGTACCACAAAAAGGCTCAGCAGGGCAGACAGGATGAAGTGGTTCTTAGTATGTTATCTAGGGATCTCTGTGGAGACAGACTTTAGGATTTGTAAGACTAGCATCTCCTCTTATGGCCAAGGGTATGTACAGATGCTTGTGTACACTATTTCTCATAGTTTTCTTTTTAAATATGCATGGGTGTGGCTACATTTGTCTGTGTACCACATAATTGCTGATGCCTTTAGACTAGATGGCATTGGGTCCCTGAAACTGAACACAATTGTGTTCAGAATTGAATCAGAATGTGTTCAGAATCACCATATAGGTTGCTAGGAATCAAAACCAAGTCTTCTCAGAGAACAGCTGGTGCCGCTCTTAACCACTGGACCATCTCTCCAGCCCCTTCAGTTGTCTTTTCTTTGGGACAGGTTATCACTATGTCACTCTGGCCGATCTCTGCTTCACAAGTCCTGGCTAGGATCAAGGCCACCACACTCAGCTCAGTTTTCATTACTAGTTCAGTATAGATACAGCCTACCTTAAGAGATCTTTGTGGCCCTCGGGTTTATGTTTTTAAAAGTATTTTTTAAAACTAAAGTTTATTTTATTTAAAGTTTCAATGTTACGCTGGCTGTCCTAGAACTATGTAAAACCAGGCTGGTCTTGAACTCAAGATCTGTCTCTGCCTCTTGAGTGCTGGGGTTAGAATGTGCCGCACCCATCCATTACACTTTTTTTTTAGTCACTCAAGAGAAGCCTTTTATGAAACCTTCATTGCCACAGTGGAAGGCACCCACAGTAAAGAGCCTATTTGACTTTGGTACTCAGGTTTTTGCTAGTGGTTGCTCTATAGACCAGGCTAGCCCCGAACTTGGGGATCCACCTGCCTCCACCTGGAGTGCTGGGATTAAAGGTGTGTGCCCCCACTGCCCGACAAAGATGTACTTTTATTTTATGTGCATTAGCGCTTTCTCTGCAGGTATGTCTGAGTGAGGGTGCCAAATCTCTTGGAACTAGAGTCGCAGTTGTGAGCTGCTTTATATGGGTGCTGGGGATTGAGCCCAGCCACTCATCCTCACTTTTTAAAAGGGGATTGAGATCAAAGTTCAAGAATTATTGAGGTTAGAAGACAAAAACACATTTGAAAATGGTACAAAGGGCCCAGGATACCGCTCAATGTGCTTTTCTTGCTCATGTGACCCAGGACCAGGTAGGTGGCATCTCTCAAACTTTCTGCTCTTGCTTTCCTCCCTGCAGGCCACCTTCTCTAGAAAAGCTCCGTGCTGAGCGTCTTCAGCGGGAAGCAGCTGAGAGAGCACGAGCGGAGGCCCTGCTGGCCCGGGTACAAGGCCAGGTATCCCAGCAAGGTCAGGTGGAAGCAGAAGAGACAGACGAACGGAGGCGGCGGTACAATTCCCAGTTCAACCCCCAGCTGGCCCGGCGACCCCGACAACAGAACCCAACTTCTGCCCACTGAACTCTCTTGGGGGGATAGGGGAGGCCGCAGCTGCCAGCCGTCATATAAAACTATTTATTCATAAATATTTTCCAAAATGAAAATAGGTTTACCAAAAAATGTCCCTCACTGGGGAGGGGAGGGGATGAGGGGCAGCCCTTGCCCCCAGGGTAGGGCAGAGAGGAAGAGAAACCTCCCCATCCCTTCCCTGCTTCCTGGGGGGGAGGGTGTCCCATGGCCTTGGGCCTCCCCCAGTCTTCCAGGGCAGGGCCCTCACCTGGGCAGGGGGGATCAGCATGCGGGGGAGGGGGAGGGTAGAAGGGGCCGGTGTCACTGGAGGTCCCGGTCCTCCAGGTAGCGGTACTCAAAGGTGAAGCCTTCCTTCTTCCGCTGGCCCCACTTCTCGTAGTCAAAGTAGATGTAGGTGCCCTGGCCGGGGAAGAAGGTGGTCAGTGAGTGGACGACGAGGGGGCTGAGATCTGGGCCAGACAGATGAGCAAGAGGCAGGTGTCAGGGGCATGGTGGTACCAAGCCGATTGTCCTATCACACTCCGCCCTTGGTGGTAAGTGAAGAAGGGGGCCAAGCCTGGCCTTTGCCCCACATGGGCTATGCTTAAGTGACACTGAGGAGTAGGGACCAACAAGTGGCCTACAATGCAACATACACACCATCTACATCTAACTGCTCTGCAGAGACACACACTTCATTGTAACGGAGATGCTGGGGGACTCAATGCCTGAGACATTCATGTCAAGGATGAAACCAGGGCGGGAGAGGAGGGCTGAAGTCAAGGTTGGAGAGCATACATCAAGAAAGCAGCTAGGTCAAGTGTCTGAAACGCTTCAGAGTGGTCTGGAAGAATGTAGGGACAGAACAGACTTCTGTGAGAACGGGGATCGATGAGGCCCAGCTTGGTACCTGGAAGTGTAGGTGGGGAAAATGTGTATGGGGAAAGCCACTGTGAAACGCACCAACTGAAAGCAATAAAAAAATTCGTGACGCTCACTGTATAGCAGGCACCATTAGTACTTACATGTTATTAACTCATTTAATCCTTGTAACAACTCCATGAGGTGGGTGCCGTTACTCCCATTTTTACAGATAGGGGAACAAACAAAAAGAGGCTTGATTGAGTTGCCCAAGATCACCCAACAGGGGTTGGGCTCAAACCCAGAGCAGCTGGCTTCAGGATGTTTAGGGAGAGTGGACTTTCCAATCAACTAATGGTTGAGGCTCAAGAAGGCTGACTAAACAGACTTCCAACAGACTCAGTCCCTGCTCTGCTGTTTGCCAGGAAATGAAAGACAAGGGACGGTGGAGGTCACGTTTGGGAAATGTCAATTAGGAAAATCCCAACTAAAGTCCCCAGAGCTGCATGGTAGAGGCAGTCAGCAGCTCCAGGAAGGCTTCTCTTTGGAAGCACTAACAATGGCTCAGAACTAAAGCACTGAGAGATTGAAAAATGGAGAGGACATTATCTCAGGCTAGGTGAACAACTTAGGGAATCAGCTTGGTCAGTTTACAGGACTGTTCTTGAAGGAGAAAGGCCAGCAAGGATTGAGGGTTGGGACTGGGGACACTAACCATACCCCAATGGGACCCTCACCTGCTCAAACTCATCTGTGATGGTCTTGGGCTCCTCGTGCCTCTGGAACCACATCATATACTTGGTGTGGAATCGCCAGGACTGCTTCTTTAGGGCCTTGGCTGCCAAGTACTGTGCCTTGGTTCCCTGGGAAAGAAAATGCAGAGCAGAGATCAGAAGGTATCCAAACTGAGTAGTTAGCAGGGGGACAGGGCAGGGCATCAGGGCTGGACCCAGACCCCCACCACAGACCAGCTGAGGTGGACAGTCCACTTGGAGACAGTGCTGGGAGCACAAAACATACCATGGTCAGAAGAAAATGAGACAGGAGGTGAGAATTGCTTTCAGAAAAGCTTTAGAAAGAAGAGAAACTAATGCATAATGAAAGCTGAAAAACGAAATAGGAAACTCAAGGGGAGAGGAGGAGGGGCTGACCTACTGCAGTCAGAGGTCAGACAGTTCTGCAGAGGTCTCTAGGGGGGCCTTGGGAGTGTCTCCTGCACTTCTGCAGCTATCCTAAACTAAAGGCTTCCCAGGAGCTGAGAGCTCTTGGCAAGTACAGAGCCTAGGGTCTGCAGCCTCTCCCTGAACCTTAGCAATTAGAATGTTTTGGGACTAGGTCAGGTTTGATTTGAGGGGGCCCAGGACTGGGATAGGGAGGGGTGCGGTCCCAGTGGCCGCAGTGGGACACCCACCTCGCCCCTCCAGCCCGAGGGGGGATGGCAGCGGTGGCGGCGGAGCTGGGGGGCCCGAGGCTGCCCCGGGGGCCCTGCTGTACCTCCAGATAGTAGAAGATGAAGAAGAGCGTCTCAGTTGACAGGCGCTGGTAGAACTCCACAGTGTCCGAGTGTGGGGGTGGCATCTGGTGGTGGTAGGGGGGTGTCGGGCAAGGGTTCCGGGGGAGGTATTGCCTGTGAACCAGTGAGGATTTAGTGCCAGGTGGCTCTGAGCTCCTGCCCTGCCTTCAGGAGGGTGTTCAGAAGCACACATCAACCTGCTTTAGGGAGCCCCAAGCCAAGTCCTCAGCACTTTAAGACGAGTACTCTACCTAGTCTCTCAGGACCCAGGAACCAGCTCCTCCCTCTGGGGAGTCCCGGTCCCCAGCCCCTTCTGCAGCCCCTCACCGAATGCGCTCGGAGTCAGAGGGGTGGGGCATGTGGTGCCAGGCGGCCTCTTCCATGGCCTGTTGGTATAGCTGCTCCTTGGTGAGGGACACTGGCCCCAGTGGACAGACGCCCAGTGACAATGGTATGTTCACCTCTGACAGCTGCAGGGGTGGCTGGGATGAGGTGGGTGGTGCTGATGTGCTGCTCAGGATGATGTCTGTAGGGGATGGGCCATTAGGCCCTTCGATGATGAGGATGGGGTAAGCTCCTTTTTGGCCTTTGCCCTCCCCACCATCCCATGACTGTCACCTCGATCAGTTAGGTGTAACGTTGGCACAGGGTCCTCAATACCAGAGCTGATAGCTGCCCGTTCTGCCATGGATTTCAGAGAGCTCAGAGGTTCAGGGGCCTGGAAAGAAAAAGCGGCCAAGCCTTAGGACCTGAACAGAGACTAAGCTGCATAAAAATGTACAGCCTAGGGGCTAGAGCAGTCAGTGGTCAAGAGCACTGACTGCTATTCCAGAGGTCCAAAGTTCAATTCCCAGCATCCACATGGTGGCTCACAACCATCTGTAATGGGATCCAATGCCCTCTTCTGGTGTGTCTGAAGATAGCAAGTATACTCATTTACACAAAATAAATAAATCTTAAATTAAAAAAAAAAAAAACAACCCACAGCCTGATAGGTTTTGTATACTCTGTGTAATCTGCTGTTGTCAGGTCCCTGTCTGCAAGATCTAACCATAGAATTCTAAAACACGGCCAGAGGGAAGTGCAAATCTGAAGTCACTAATCACCATCAGATTTGTAAGAGTTCACTCTCCTCTGTGCAGGGTCCATAACACATTCCAGAGGAAACATTACCCTACAAAGTGCAGTGGACACACACACACTTCCATAAAGACACCACATGCTGGGGGAACACCCACTGGACTGCCACAGTAGTATGGCACCTTGAGGGAGATGGTTGGCAGCACTGCAGGCTGTCCTGTTGCCTTAAGAGTGTCGACCATCCCTGGGCATTCAGTCTCCTTGGGAACATCAGTGGGTTAGGCCCGCAGCCCCCACACTGCTTTCCCTGGTGAAGCAGCTTAGGGTTGGCTCTTCTACCCACTCTGTACAACTCTTCCATCACTAAAGCCCACCCACAGACCTACACCCCAGCTCTCTTGGAGGGACTCATTCTGTACTAGTCATAGCCAATAAGGCTGAGTCCTTCATGGTACTCTTCCCCCCCATCCCACCCACAGCCTTCCATGAGTCTCTCTACAAGGTGTCACTTTGCTTCTCCTCCCCTCAAAACCATGCTAAAGCCATATCACCCACTCAGGAGAACTTCTGAGATGATGTTTTCCCCCTAGGAAAGTGCACTGTCATTGGATTTCCTGTCCCAGGATGGGCTTAGGGAACTCACCTTGATTTCTGGGGTGGTACTGAACTGTGGAGGACCATTGAGCAGGGTGCCAGCTGCCTTGGCTTCACTGAAGCTGGGCGTTGGAGAACTGGGGGGATTTACAGGTAGTGGCACCAAGAGGCTGGGTCCCCCTGAGTTGTTCCCTGAGCCTGAAGCCACACTCCCAGACCCCGATGGGGCTGCCGTACTGGATTCCTTTCTGGGTAAAGAATGGAGGAGAATCAAATTAAGGTCCTTGAAGACAGACAGACAGAATATGGGATCTAAAAGGGGGAGCTGAAAGCAAGACAGCTGGAGCATGCGGAAATGAATCCAAATCTCTGGAATCCTCTTTTAGTACAGAAGTACCGAGGTGTGCAAACAGAATTTTACAATCCAACAGCTTTATGAGGCTAAAAGACAGGATGGGATAGTTCTAGAACCATCACTGAAACAGATTCAGAATAAATAAAGTTTCTATCATAGAACACAGATTGCACAGATGCACATGGTACAATCCCACTAGGGCTGGTAATGAGGCTGGCAAGGCAGCAGATCTTTCATTAGTAATCTCAGGTCAGGCTGAAGATCAGGGTGCCTCAGAGCAAAGAACAGAAATGGGAAGACAGCATAGTCTGAAACCCAGAGTAAAAAATAAAAGAGAAGGTGAAGCTGGGAACTAATGTACTTATGTCCCAGTTGGTAAGAAGCAAGGACAAGACCCCTTGCTGAGGTGAAGAAAGGATACACTGGATATTACCCAAGAAGGGTAGAATTTGGAACCCTAAAAACAAGAGTGACATGAGAGCCTGTGCCCACACACTGCCACCCCACAACTCACGAGGTGCTGGGAGCTGGGTTGTGAGGGCCTGAAGTGGGCCCCAGGGCTTGGCTGCTGGCACTGCTGCCCCCACTGCTACTCAGGGCCACCTCTGCAGGGCTATCTGCCACAACTGAACTATAGCCTGAGAAAAGAAGGGCAAGTGTAAACAGGCTGTCAGCTACTACCCACCTTGCCCTGTCCCCCAAACAGGCCTCCACTTACTGGTGGCACCGTTCTGCTTGCCAGCCCCTCCGCCTGTGCCACTGTTACTATTGCTGCTGCTCCCTCCGCTGCCACCACCACTTCCCCCGCTCGGCTGGGCACTGGGGGGCCGGGGCTGGGCACTGCTAGGCCCGCTGGCATTGGGTGGGGCCACAGCCTGGGCATAGGGAGCAGGAGTACCCGAGTTGTGGCTGGGAGCTGGACTGGCCTTAGGGCCCAGGGCACTTGGAGGTGCTGCCGGGGTAGAGGCCCCATTGTTGCCAGGGGTGGAGCTCAAGGCAGAAGTGGCAGGTGGGGGGCCAGAGGGGTAGGTGGGCGGCACAGCTGGGGACTGGGGATGCTGGTTGCTGTGGACAGGCTTTGAGCCATTTTTGGCTGGAGACTGCAGGAAAGAAAAAACAGAGGGTCAGGTACTAGAGACCAGCCTGTCCCCTACCCACCCCCCTCTTTTAAATTGTCTTCCTGCCTCGCCTCTGACCTGCTATCAACTGTCCACATTCTCTGGGGCACCTAGGAGACTTCAATTACCTTCATGTTTAAAGTCTATTTCCAGCCCACTCAGCTGTCCCAAGTCCTCCCTGGACATTGTCCCTATAGTCCACATGAATCTGACAGAGGTTAGTTAGGTTGTTAAGACTAGAGACCAAGAGAAACTCTCAAATACCCTGAACTTGAGACCTGAAGGAGTGGCATATGCCTTTGATCCTAGCACTTGAGGCAGAGACAGGCAGATCTCCGAGTTTGAGATTAGCCTTGTCTATTTGGAGAGCTCAGATCAGCATAGGCTACACAGTGAGATGCTCTTGCAAAACAAACAAACAACACCAAAAACAAAAACTCAACCTCAATCTGTGATTAGTTGGATCAGCCTAAGGGAATGC